ATTGGCATCTGCGCGCTCTGTTGCACCTGCTGCATCTGCTCATTGGAGGGCATATTCGGGAATTGCGAAGGCATGTGCGGCGAGGCGCGCATCGGCGTTGCGCCCTGCTGAAACGGCGTACCGAGCATTCGTTGGGGAGCCTGTCCCATTGGTCCCCCGGCCTGTTGACCAGGCATCAGTAACGGGCTCCCCCGCATGACGGACCCTTGTGTAGGAGGATTCGTCAGCGCCTGTTGTTCCGATTGAGGCTCTGGACGAAAGGGATTTGGCGGAGAATGACCAGAAGGCGCATTGTTTTGAACAGGGAGAGGAGACCCCTGATGCTGCGCTACCTCGCTCCTGAAGCAGACACACGTTAGCGATCAACCGTCGCACAATACGCACACCACTCACATATTTCCCTGCTGCTCACCGCCGGCAAGCAGATTGAACGAGGCTTTAGTAGGGTTCGCGGTGGCTAATCTCTTCAGCTCATTCACGAATCCGGCAAACTGCTGCTTCTTCTCGTTGATTTCTGACAGAATCCTGTTTCTCTCGAACTCCCACTGCATGTCCGACATTCCAACGTGACGAGACCCATGCTCCTGTTGCTGCTTCTCAAGCTCGCGGATGATGCTCTGCAGTTTTGTCGCGCGGGCTCGCATCTGCTGGTACGTTGCCGCACGCAACTCCGACATCTGTTGCGGCGTGGGCGATGATTGCATCGACGCTTGTTGCGTGTGCTGCTGCTGTTGCTGAGCTGTCGACTGCAGTGGGCCCTGCTGGGGAACCATGGGATGTTGCGATCCGCCGCCGGCGGTCGGGGGACGCAGTCCGACCTGCATGGGGAACTGCGAAACGTCCGAGGGCTGTTGGTTCATATTCGCATTCATGTTCGCGAAAAAAAGCTGTTGTGCAGAGGGCGCTTGCGTCTGTGCCATCGGTCCGCCGGCCATCTGCTGCTGAGCCTGCTGGAACTGCTGCTGGCGGAACTGCTCGGACTGCTGTTGTTGCTGCTGGCGCTGCAACATCTGCTGCATGAGCATCATATTTTGCGGGCTGTGAATCGCCCCATTCTGTGGTTGTTGTTGCTGCGCCATATTCATCAACTCGAGCTGCCGCTGCTGTTGTTGTTGCTGCTGCTGCTGTTGCTGCTGTCGCTGAAGAAGTATTTGGGCCATCTGAGGTGTACTGTTGGCGATCATCTGCAGCTGTTGCGCATTCATATTCGAAAAGGGATTCTTTGAGGCCTGCGCCTGTGGTAGTTGCTCATGGAACGAGGCTGACGCAGCCGGGTTCATCTGTGGAGGAAACTGTATCGGTCGCTGTCCCATCTGTTGCTGCTGGTTGGCTCGCTGCCGCATCTGGTGGCTGCGAAGGAGATCTATCATCTACAAGGGAAGCAGTCAGCGACTGTGACTGTGAGCGGGAGGCTGAGCCAAATGAAGGACCACTCTCGACCGCTCACGTGATGACGTAAGCAGACGGGCGTGAGTAAAGTGGATGGCCAGGCTGCAGCGTAACGCAACGTACGAGCACGAGCAGAGCGAGCACAGATCTGCAGAGGCCGCAAAAAAGGCTGTGTGTGTAGCGTGATGGAGCAGCCAAAGAACGAAAGGCAGAGAGGAGGAAAGGAGAGAACATAGCGGAGAGCACACCTGCTGCTTCGTCTGAGCATTAGCCATCATGCCTGCACCCTGCTGAGGAGGGCGAAACGACTGCTGAAGTATTTGAGACTGCTGCTGCTGCTGTTGCAGCTGAGCCCATATGCGAGCCTGATCGGACGACTGCATGCCCTGAGGGTTGACGTTCAGATGCGGATCAACGAGACCCTGTTGCTGGGAGGCAAGACCGGCAGGAAAATTGGCTGGGTGCATATTATACTGCTGCGGAAGGCGGTCTGCCATGAAGGCAGATCGGAGTGTCGAGGGAGGGGTCGCAAGGCGTGTGCGGTCGTGGGGTGCTGGCGGTGGGAAGGTACGTTATGCGGCAGGAGGTAAAGCGGGCGGCGAGCGAGCACGGCTGGGCCGCCGCAAAGGAGGACGTCGATGGGCTGAGCGGCGATGGGACGCGCACAACGGGGAGGAGGGGGAGAGGGAGGGCAGTCGGAGGGACGATGGTGGTGGGAGGAGAGAGCAGGCGGGGATCGTGCTCGGGGCTCACCCGAAGGCGGACATACACTCGCATACACAGGCCACCAGCGGAGCTTCAACATAACCAAACTGTAGCGATCGCCTCTCTTTTCCCTCCACGCCCTCGCCTCGCCCTCTGCAGACCCCTTGTGCCTGTTTCTTTCTCTCTGCACTGCCGTGAGCCTCTGTTTCATCCCCACCCACCTTACGTAGACCCCTCGTATTTTCTTCCGCAAATGCACCGCGGCGCCACGCTGAACTGCACTGGTCTATTCATTAGACGCCCACGCGGCGTTTCAGGCAAAGGCATCGCGTGAAATCTGCCTCTTTTCTGCCACTATCCCGGATAACCTCTTTTACGATAATCTATTCGAATAACTCTGAATTGTGCTTGCAGCGGGGGGTGCGATGTGGACGGCGTTTCTATCGCGGCACATGCTGCGTTGCGTGCGTTCCTCGCGCCCAATCATCGGGCGCTCATTCTCGCCACACGGTGCTCGGTTTTCTCCTTTTTTGGCCTCCATCCATACCACTTGACCATCACCCAGGCCGCAGGCTGTCAGCGCTTTATCCAGCACCGGCCACCGCATGGAGGTGCGGCACGTCCCATCGCGTCCAGATCAGTTGTTTATGAGTACGCCGCAATATGTGCTGCAGACGTACCTTGACCAAGCTTACCGCGTCTGGAGCTTGGATCGAATCGAATGGATGTATTGTCAACTTCATATCCTAAATCGAATGGGTATAATGTCAACTTCATATCCTGAATCAAATGGGTATATTGTCAACTTCATATCCTGCTGTTTAATTAGGAGCGACTCAGATCGAAAGGCCGCTTCTTGCATCGTCGTGTCGGCCCCATCGATGTGCGGCTTTGCTCATGCTGGTGTCTTCTTTTCTTCAATTTGGTGGACGATCGCACATTAAAGACTGTCCAGCGCTGGCATCTGTCCTATCGGCTACTGTGCGATACGCTTGGCCGAATACCGGACACCACCTTGTGTCTGCTAAGCGCTCACGCGGTGGCCCAGCCAACTTTGTTCCTCATTCGAAAGCTCACCCCACTCGAGAGTATATATTAGCTATCTCTACGGTTAAGCGACTGCTGCACCAGCTTCTTTAACCAAATGCATATCATAAATTGTCGCGACAATTCTCTTCGCCCCCATGTACAAGCGAACAGAACAGACCTCGAAGGTAATATCCCGGCATAATTTGTCAAAGCGGTTCACAACGCATGTATGGCATGTATGGCATGTCCTCCGAATTTTCAAATAAACGCAAACTGAACCTGCTGACCCCGCTACCCCCGACTGCCCCCGCATGTGGTAAGTATTGTATAACAAGCTACTGTATCCACACCGATATAGTACATCGAGCTTGTGGGCTCCTAGCTCCGCCAATACTGTGCCCAATCATGCATCCTGTCCAGTACAACTGTAAACGGCGAGATATCATTCAACAGCTTCTCGAAATGCTCGATCGCCTGCTCCTCCGTCATCTCGAGGCAGAATTTGCCCAGCACCTGCTCGTGCACGTCGCGGTGCTTGATGTGCGGGATGTTCGCGTCGACCATGAGTGTGACGAGGTTGAGAATGAGGTTCGCGCTCTTCCGCAGGATCGTGAATGCCGTGAAGCAGAAATTCTTGAAGCGCGAGTAGTGCACGGACTGCACACCGCCCATTGCGTCAACCATCTCCTTGCAGACTTTAACGGGCGGTGCGAGCGGCTTGGGATCTCGTCCGAGGATATACCCAAAGTCAACTAAGTTAAAAAGTCAGCACATTGTTCCGAGGGGCTAAAAGGTTATGCATACCATGGAAAAAATGACCTGGATTTCGCATATCAGCAATGTGGAAATTGGATAACTGGATAACATACCATCAGGTGCCAGTAGCAAATTATCCAGGTGTCTGTCTCCAACGCCAAGCAGATAAGTCATGACACAATATCCAGCTGTGGATCGAATGCGGACGTAAGTCCCACGAGTTGCTGATAGTCATGTCCTGAAATCGCACGCACCGCAGCTCCTCACAAACGTGTCGATCACTCCCGGCTCGACACCATACGTGCCTACACTGCCCTCATCCGGATAATGCGCCCGCAGATAATTCAACAGCGTCCCATACTCGCTCACGATCGCCGCAATCGTCTTGCTCGGAATGAACTGCGCCATGCCCTGCGTTGGTCCGGTCGCGAGCACATCGTACGGGCTCAGCCGCAGATCAAGGTTCTCCTTCCGCAGCAGCCGGTCCATCAGCGTAAACAGCTGAATGATGAGCTGGTCCTGCCGCATGTCGTCACCGTCCTTGAAGATGAGCGGGTATTCGGACCCATCGACGCATTGAAAATACAGCAGCATCGGGAACATGTTCGACTTGAACACGCTCGACTTCTCCGCGATGATGCCCGTCACTTGCACACGCGCATTGAGTGGGAGGGGTAGAGGCGGCATCGATGCTAGGTTATTCTTAGACTCGGCGAGAAACGCGCGGAGCTTCTCGATCTTCTTCGGGCGGGGATCTTTCGACGTGCGGAGGTCCCTTGCCCGTTTAGCGAGTGTGTCGACAAGTTCGCCCTGTCGGCGCATGAGGTCTCGTCTCTCTTGGCCACCCTCCGACTATTATATCCAGTTCAGTGAGCGAACGCTCAAATGACGTAGGTAAACTGATCGCACCTCAACCAGTTTCTCCATGAACTTGAACACAACTCTGCCGTACATCTTCGCCATGACGGGGTCCTCAATAGCAACCTCAACCATGAGATACCAATGGAAGCGATTCCCCAGGATCGGATTCCGAACAGCGCGCGTAATAAGGAAGTCTGCGAGACCGCTGTCATCGTATGAGATTGCGCTCGATGTCGAGCGCGACGACCTCTGGTCGCTCGCGGCGCTCTCGAACTTGAGCGCTTGCACTAGCTGCAATAGGTACAACAACAGCTCCTGGATGATTTTCAGGCAGTCAAGAGCACATTCAGAGGAAGTAGGAGGCGGCCATACCTCGTCATCGGCTCTGCTCAGCTGCTTCACAGCGAATGCTCGCACGCGTGAGTCGACGATATTTGGCCCCAGCAGTTCCAGCGCGTCATCCGTGTCAATCTCCGTCCACTGCGGTAGCAGCTCCTCCACCGCCTGTTTGACCTCCGATGGATCACGCCAGGTCACGGACTTGAGGAACTTGGTGAGCCCACGCTTGTCTCTCGTGAGATAGAAGCGGAATTTCCAGATCAGATCCTTCTCCTCAGAGGTCAGCGGCTGGCTTGGCGCGTAGTTGAGGATATCCTATGGGCGTCGAGATTAGGACCCTATTGTTTTAGATCCCAGTAAGTGACTCTTTTCTTACTGAGATTTCATCCCGTATCTTTGCGTTGGGCTTAAGTTCCCTGTCGTATGGGCTACTTCGATGGCTCCGAACGAGGCGCCGATGCTTGTCTTCCACTGGATTCTCACGCGCGACCTCAGGATCGATGACAGCCCATAGTGACGGATCTGTCGCAAAGCTGGACTGCGGCGCAGCTGGAGCAGGGGTCGACGTCTGTGCAACCACTGTGGACGTGGACGGAATAGTTGAGGCATCCTGAGTCCACCGTCAGCAAGAACGCCAGAATGGAATACTATAGGAGGCGGCGCACAGGTTCACAGAAGATGACTGGGAAGTCAAAACGGGGCAGATCGATGTACAAGAATAAGTTCTCGGACTTCTCAGTTTCTGCCTGGGATATAGAGATGTATCATCAGTGGACGTGTCGATTGCTGAGACTTTGGCATGTGAAGGCTTACTGCGTGAATCTCTGCCATCTTGCGAAATGTCATAGCGTCGAGCCAGTCCGACTTTGGCATGTCGCCGCGTTCATACTTTTTCACGAGCTAGAAAGAAATATTAAGTCAACAGGGAATCCAACCCCAACATCGAACACATACCTTCTCCAATCTCCCCATCTCGTCTCTGGTTTCTACCTTACTGGGAGTCGTGGTATCTACCGAGCCGTCGGCCTCTCGGTCGCGCCATAACATTAATCGATGCTTCCCTCTCCTGAGGCTCCTATGTTCGATGAATCAGTGAGAGGGATGTTAGGATAGACACCGAATCAGACCGAACCATTTCTTCCCAAACAGCCGAAAAGTTGAACCGCCTACCGGCAAGGCCGACCTGGGACCAGCGATGTCCCACACAGTAAACGTAACCTGAGCACTCAAAGGAAGGTCGCAGTAGCGTATAGGAAATGTGATCCACTCATTCCATCTGCACATGTTATAGGTTTCACACGAATCATCATGGTTGAAGCGACACGCTCACGTGTAATCTTTCTTGAACGCCTTGTGCGAAGTCCGGAACGGTATTGTAAGCGGCTTGTTGTCCGCGACCAGCTGACAGGTGACATAGAGGTCGGAGAGTTCCCTTCAGCTGTGTGATGAGCGGTTGAACGAGACTGGGTTGTACACTTACGGTGATTGTTGCACGCCGTGGAAACGCAACTCTGGGTTTTCCAGGAGTTCCGTATACGAGTGAGGCTTACGCGTGCCCTCTAGTTGTGATCTACCGCATCAAGAGGGCTGCGTCAATGTGTTTTCTGACCAGGGAACACAACGCATACATGCGGAATGTGACCGGCAGCTTCAGATCGCTGAGTTTCGCGAAGGTAAAGTCGTCTCGGTTGTCTTTGTCCATCTCATGCAGTATGATCTTCAATGTGAATTTCAGCTTCTTATTAAGTGTACGACTGATTGCACAGCCAGAAACTTGCTGAAGAGACCGGATGTGCACGCAGCGGTTAGTGGCAAGGGAGATCCGATTCAATGTCAGCTGCCAGTGGCGCGGGGATTATCCCGCACAAGCTCGCACCATCCCCCCAAAAGGCAACCAGCGTGGTTGCTCCGTAGCGGCGCTTATTGGCTTTCCAACTACTCTCGTCGCCTTCCTTCCACCGTTGATCATGGGGGAACTCAGATTGTCTGTCGTAATTATGTCACAAAGCATGGGTTTTCTGAAATCAAGTAGCTATGAGTACATATGAGACTTAATCTTGCAACGGAGATTTTGGCGAACATATGGAAGCAGGCAAATTGGTGTTTTTATGTGTGAAGACGGCATTAGACTGCTACCATACTGCCACGGAAGACAATCGAGATGCTGGAATCCCATTGGCACGAGGAGCGCAAGTGAACGTTCAGTAACGAGGCTAGTTAACTCCGCTAAATATGTGACAGCATATCAATTTGTCTTTCCTGTCAAGGCAAATTATTCTTGGACGCAAAAGGGCCTGAAAATGCACAAGAAGAGAAACAGACCCAGCAAACTCAAGATCCACTTTGAACGCCTCAGACACCACACAATGTTGGTATCACGTACTGAGACAGGCAAAACCTCCTCCTTGGGATTCTGTGTGGATATGGCTTGCGCTGGAGGCATCTGAGGTATTCGGTGGATCTGAGGTGCTGGTGGTATTTGAGGAGTCTGAGGTATATTGGGAATGGCTTGCGGTAGCTTGGGTGTAAACTTAGCATCCTGCTGTTGCTGGACAGCGGTCGCTCCGCTTGGCTGTCCAGGGCTGCTCTGCGAGGGACAGGAATGAGCTACAGATGGGTGAGGAGCATTATGGTCAGACGCCTGCAAATTGAATCGCTGATACGGCAATGCTCTGGCGGCAGTCCTCAATACGTTGAGACTGTTGCGCAAATTCTCCAGCGTAATGAAGTGTTTCGATTGACCTTGCTCTACGCTCTTTTTCTGCCAAAATGTCGTCACGACCTAATACGCAACTGTCATTTAACATGCAAGGGACAAGGTGCAATGTTGACATACCGCCGCGGTTATCCGCCGAATCAGATGTT